TAGTAAGATAAATTTGAAGTCTTAAAATGTAAAATTGTGTAAATAATACTTTATGCGAGATGATATCACATATTTTAAAACTCTTCAGCGAGAACTATGCCATATAAATCAAAATGGAGCAAGTAATATAATACTTTTATTATTCTCAAATCGTGGAAGCAGTCACCAATGCTTGCATTAAGATAAATTGTGTACATCACACTCCTTAAAGTACAGTCATTTCTTAGATCCTACGTAGATGGAAAATACCTTGTGTATCAAATTGTAAAAACTTCTTAGGGCTCGTTTGGTATGAGGATAAGGAATAATTAATCAGAAATTAAGGGTTTGTTTGGTATGAAGGAAAACATTTTTCGGTAAATATTTTCCAATTTTTCCATGTTTGGTTGGCTTAAATGTTTTGGAAAATATTTTCCTTATGANGTTTTTTCATTTTTCTGCACCACCCACCACCCACCTCCCCGAAAAAATATTTTTTGAATATATATTTCAGTTTTAGTTTTTTTATTTATCGGTTCAAAGATTCAAAATTTTACAAGTTCCAAAGTTATGAGTTCGGAGGTTTATATGTTTGGAAGTTTACGGGTTTAGAAATTATAAAGTTTACGGGTTCGAAATTCCGCAGTTTCGAAAGTTTATGACATTTGTGGGTTCAGAAGGTTGTTGGTTTAAAAGTTTATGGCTTCATGTTTATTACTCCCTCCGGTCCAAAATAAGTAATTTTTTGGCTTTTTTCTTGTAGTCCAAAATAAGTGATTTTTCCAGATTTCAAGAATGAATTAATTATTTTTTTCCTACATTGCCCTTGGAGTAATTAATGTTGGAGTATGTGTTAGAAGTGTTTATGTGAAGATATAATAAAGGTTAATATGATCAATTTCATTGCTAAATAATATTAAAAGGTGAATTTCTTAATATGTGTGAAAACAACGAAAAAATCACTTATTTTGGACCAGAGGGAGTATATCTAAATTATTTATGAATACTCTTGAAAAGTCATTTTCCTTAATTTGCGTACCAAACACCGGAAAATGAATAAGATTACTACTTGTTTTCCGAGAAAACATTTTCCCCGAAAAATATTTTCCGTTATACCAAACACATCCTAAATTTGAGATAGAGTTTATTCCAAATTTGGTTGAGATAAAACTGAAATATAACTATACTAAGATTAGTTATTTGGAGATTGCACTATTATTTTTATTCCTATGAGAGAATTCAATAACAGTTCCAAATAACTAGTTCCAAAATAATTAATTCTGATTTCCCAACCAAACGACCCGGTACACCAAGTGGCCCATAAGATTCATTCGAGCCGCGCAAAAAAGGAAAAAAAGAAAAAAGGAGTAATTTGGAGCCACAAATTAAATTGACACTCCTCTTTTATCCTTCACATTTTCATGACTTTCTGCTCCTGTCCATCTTGATGTGTTCACCTCTGTACTCTTTCACAAAAACCCAACTTCTACACAATGTTGTAGCTTTACATGACATTTAAAAACCACAGCTTTGTACAAAAAACCCAAAGATGAATTCTGCTTCAATGTCAGCATCAGTTTTAAACTGCCAAATCTTGAAATTTCTCCCACCCAAAAGCTCTATATTCTTGAAATCTCCATTACTTAGTGGCAAAAGTTGCAGACTTTGTGTGTCAGCAAGTTCAAATGAGTTGGATAAACAGTTAATAGAGGACCCAAAAGAGGAAATACAAGAAAAGACTAATGGGGTTATTATTAACAGTGAGGAAGAAAGAAGAGGGGAAAATTCTACTTCTACTGGTCCTAATGCTGTTCTTGATAATAAGGAACTCAAAAAGGTCAGATTTTTATGTATTCTTTACTCAGTTTTATTCAATTTTTGATATGTTTGAGGTAGCTCGGTTCACATGCTAGTTATGCGGGAATTATAATGCATGGATTGTCTATGCAGTGAATTAATTATAATGCAGAGATTGTTATGCGGCGATTAATAATGTGGAAATTGTTATGCAATGATTAATAATGAAAGGGTTGTTATGCAGGAATTACTTACTTTAAGGTTATTTTTGTATTTAAATACTTTAAATCCTGTGTTGCTAATACATTGCTTAATGCGGGTATTATGCAAGAATTGTTTTTTCTTACACGGCCAATCAAATGCTGCATAAGTTAGGCATGAATTATTAGTTCTAATGTTAGGCATGAATTATTACTTCAAAGGTGAAAGAAGCTAATGAAAAAATTACAAGCATGACCATTTTATTGTGTAACTGCATCAGCATGAACTTTGTAAAGCATAGCCGGTCTTAGATCCATATAAAAGAGAATGCTTGAGTAAGTTTGTGGGGTCTTTGTGATAATTGTCTAATCATAATGAAACCTTTGAAAGAAACAGAGCTAGATTTTATAGTTGAGTTACTCCCAAGGTTCTTTTTCTTAATAGTAACAATTTGCATCAAAGAGAGGTCCAATGGAATGACTTGTAGATTATCGCACAAACTTTCATCATCGAGGACGTTAGAACGGTCCATCTGGTATTGTGCTAAAAAACGTCTCAAATTTCTGTCGGGGCTTTGCAAAGCCAACAGCCAAATTTGCAACATGATTATTTTTCCTGCTATGCTACATGGGCAAATATAATTTGACTAATTTATAACTTTGTGATGTCTTACCAAGAATGTGTGATAACCTCAAAATACTCTCTAACAGGCTGTTCTAAAGACTGCTGCGACCTTTGCACCAAGGGCTTCCACTGCCACAAAAAATCCTGCTGTACCTGGAACTGTTTTATACACTGTTTTTGAAGTGCAAGGCTATGTTTCAATGTTGCTCGGTGGAGCTCTCTCCTTCAATCTCATATTCCCCTCAAATGAACCAGACATCTGGAGACTAATGGGAATGTGGTCCATATGGATGTTTAGTAAGTAATTTTGTTTTATAGAACTAAACCTTGCTTCTAAAGTAGTAGAAATAAGATCATTTCTGTATAAGAGATTCAAAGTTGCTTTTATGACGTAGATATGTAAAGTTCATCTGTCCATTAATTCATTTCGTTTTCCTTTCACTGTTTTCTTAATTGGAGGACTATGATTAGGTGGTTCCATTTGCGGCTTTAGTTGGTTGCTATTTGAATCTGATGTTACTTCATTTAGATAGTTTTCTCAAATGTCAGTTCATGCCTCATCATGTAAGGAACATCAATTGTTTTAAAGAAATATTATTTTCGTATTTTATACAATTTTCCTAAGTGGAGGGGGAGCCTTAGCATAATGGTAAAGTTGCTGCTATGTGACCAAGAGGTTACGGGTTCGAGCCTTGGAAAGAGCCTCTTGCAGAAATGCAGGGTAAGGCCGCGTATAATAAACCCTTGTGGTCCTGCCATTGACTGGACCTCGCGCATAGCGGGAGCTTAGTGTACCTGGCTGCCCTTTATACAATTTTCCTCAATATGGTATCTTATATTCTTGAGATTCATTGTGATTTGAGTTGCTGTGTAAACGATGTTCAAACATTTTGTGTTATTAAACACGCTAGTCTCAATTGTGAATGCCAAAGTAAACACTAGCATAAAATGTATAAGTTGATGTAAGGAGACACTATAATTTGTAATTCTAATGTAATTACTAATTTTTCTATCTCCCCAAGATATTAAACTTTGACTGTATATATGCGTTTTAAAATAAATATCCTTATAGGTGTAGAAAGTTAATTTGTACCCTTGCTACTTATACCTCAATTTAGCTGTAAATTTGAATTCAAATATTAATTTCTATTATTGCAGCTGTCCCTTCTCTTCGGGCTCGGGATTGCTCAAAGAATGAGAAAGAAGCTCTCAATTATCTTTTTATCCTCATTCCCTTGCTTAATGTTATAGTCCCATTCTTCTGGAAGTCATTTGCTGTCGTTTGGTCAGTGGATACTGTAGCATTTCTTGGGATGTACGCTTGGAAGGTATTTGGTTTATTCAGTAGACAAATTGAGCATTGTTTATATTCTCCTCTCTGCTAACATACTTTGTTCGTGCAGCTTGGATGGCTACAGAAAGAGTGATGGCAAAAGAAGTGACGGATCAGTGTCGCTCTTGTTGCTTCAAATAAGTAGCTCGTTCAGCTGATATAATCTCTACTATGGCTGCTTATGGTTCACGTCATGTCTGCTATATCATGATTCGTTTGAAAAATGAAACATCTACGAGCAGAGTAAGAATATCTCATATCAAGTTGCCTTGCTTCGGCTAGTTCGAGTTATGAGCTTTACTGCTAACACAGATAGATATTGTTTTCTTTGGGTTGGGGGTTGCACACCTTTAGTTTTATGTGCTCTGTGTATTTCGTTACCCTTAAGAAAGTACAGATGTTGTCCATCCTTCTTCGTACCGATGATAAATTACTATTAAGAAAGTACATGCACTCTCCCTCATTTATGTACAGACGATAAGTTGTGAAGATGAATTTTTGAAGCCCTAAAAATACATCTGAGAAATGACTTTATGTTTACATTGAAAGGAACTTCGTTAGCTTGAAGTAAGAAAAATAGGCATTGGTCCAATGGTGCTGCCCTATAAGTTGCAGGTCATTGTGTATTTTTGGTGGGTTAAGGAGAGGATATCGTCAAATATTTTCAGTTCCCCCAATTC